GACCGCAAGACTAACAAGTTTCATCCATTTGAAAACAGGTCAAGAGAAGTCGTTTCGAGGTTGTGGTTATAATCGTCTTGCATCATTAAGAGTTGCCGTTAAATTATGCAGAAACTGAACTCGGAATGGAACACCTGAATTTTTACCCACGTTTTGGAGATGGTCGATTCCCAAACTAGCCTCGCCGCTTGTGTTTTCTCTTTGTGAGGTCACATTATTCCCACGAGAAGATACAAGAGATATTTTTTCAATATATAATACTTTCAAGAAATGAACAAGTATGTTTGAACATTCGAGTGAATGAGTCAACCCCCACCCCAACCAATCGAATTAAGCTTTATATATACCTCAAATATAATATCAGGGTTCAAGTAATAGTTCCAGTTTCATTCGTTAAGTTCAAGTGATTCAAAATGCAGTGCTCACAATGTAAAAAAGAATTTTCTGCAAGAAAAAGTTTATTACGTCATTTGAGAGAGAGCCAACATACCAATGGCTCTCAGGGTGAGTCGTCGAAAAAGATGAAAATGATACCAAAAGCTGAAATGTCACGAAAAGTTGAAATTAAGCCTATTATTCGTGGAAATCAGGGGTTTCAAGTGGATATATCAGCACTCAATATTAGAAAAAATAACAGGAATGTTTTGGAGAAACGAGCTGATGGCATAGAGAAAATAAGTAGTGCATTCAAATGCCGAATTTCGAGTTACAGGTTTTCAACAAAACATCATCATATCGATCATCACGAATTTTTTGATGATATAAAGAATAATGTTTTCTCTGTTTTGACCGAATACATTCAGAAATTTCGAGCACTGAAATTACACTTTGAATTGTTTTCGGTATACATAATACCTGAGAAAAACATCACTGATTTGAAATCTTTCAATACAAAGAACAGAATAATGACTCAATCAACCAACTTAGAAGAAATGTACGAAGATTTTAAAACAGATATCATGTCAAAGACGTCAGCTATACAGGAAAAAGACTCAGGTAAGTAAATTAATAAATTAGTGATTCTCAAATTAACATAATAATACTTCAAGGGTGGATTTTACAACATATCGGGTTCCTGGAAGTGAATATCAACAAGTACAACCCCCTTTCAGGATCCTCCTTCATCAAACTACCGAAACAAATTGAGTACAAGAGGGCTGTTTTGAATATCCAGAATAGAGATGAAAAATGCTTTGCCTATGCAGTCAACGCAGCAATTTTTGCAGCTACTGGAAACCCTCAGCGAGTATCCTCATATCCACATTATTCGACACTACTCAATTTCGAAGGTATTGATTTTCCAGTTAAGTTGAATGATATATCGAAATTTGAATCAATGAACAATATTTCGATCAACGTTTTCGGAATTGATAATTTTTTCAAAGATGGTAAAATGATATATGAAGTAGTAGGACCGCTATATTTTACTAAATGTAAGAAAAATACCCATGTTAATCTTTTACTCATCACAGATGATAATGCTAACAGTCACTACTGCTATATAAAAGATCTTTCTCGATTAGTTTCAAATCAGAAATATAAGCATAATGGGCGGTGTTTCATTTGTAACGGCTGCCTTCAATTCTTCCGCACTCAAAAAGAGTTGACTCTACATGAGAGTAATGATTGCAATTTTTTATATACCAAATTACCAACATGCTCCATGATTACAAACAAGTTTGGAGAAGAGCTGCCTGAGAACATTCTCAAATTTGTAAATCTGGAAAAACAGCTCACGGTTCCCTTCGTTATTTACGCAGACTTTGAAAGCATTCTGAAACCCATCGAGCATAATGAACCTAATAATGATAAATCATTCACTGTTGAAACATTCGAGCATGTTCCACACTCATTCTGCTTCTACATCAAATGTAGCTTCGATGATTCATTATCGAAATTGATTCATTACCGTGGTATTGATGCTGCAGATGTATTTGTTACTAGAATAGAAGAACAAGTTCACCAACTCTATAACAAGTATTTGAAATATCCTAGAGAAATGTTACCTCTGACAGACACACAGGAACATAATTTCAATACCAGTACAACATGCCATATTTGTGATAAACCAATTGGGGTGGGTGAGGTCAAAGTTCGAGATCACTGTCATCTAACAGGGGTGTATAGAGGAGGGGCACATTCTAGGTGCAATTTGAATTACAAAATTCCCAAATTCATCCCCGTGTTCTTCCACAACCTCACGCATTACGACTGTCATCTTTTTATAAAGAAATTGGCTTTGAATAAAGAAAAAATTGATGTTTTGCCACAAAACAAAGAAAAATACATTTCTTTTTCTAAACATATTCTAGTTGAGAAGGGTGAGGGTGAGGCAAATGATGTATACATGAAATTACGATTTCTTGATTCATTTCGATTCTTACCCGGATCTCTTGATAAATTGAGTCAAACATTGCAGTCAAACCAGTGTACTGAAATCAGGAAATATTTTCCTAATCAGGAAGAATTTGATGAAATCAGGCAGAAGGGTATTTTTCCCTACTCATACGTGAGTTCAATTGAGAAATTGGATGAAACAAATTTACCGCATAAAAATAATTTTTTCGATATTCTGCGTAATGAGGGAGTAAGTTCAGAAAATTACAAAACAGCAGAAAATGTGTGGAAAATATTCAAATGTAAAACTTTGGGTGACCACTCTGATGTTTACCTCAAATCTGATGTATTATTACTCGCGGATATATTTGAAAATTTCCGTGAATTTTGTATACGAATATATAAGTTGGATCCAGCACAATACTATACAGCACCATCATTGAGTTGGGATGCTATGTTGCGCAATACAGGTACTCAACTTGAACTAATTACCGATATAAACATGCTACATTTTTTTAGAAAGGGTATTAGGGGTGGTGTTAGCCAGTGTTCTACTAGGAAAGCTTCAGCTAATAACAAATTCATACAAAACTACGATAAATCCAAACCAAATTCATATCTTTTGTACTTGGATGCAACTAATCTGTATGGATGTGCTATGAGTCAATCTTTGCCCAAAGGTGATTTCAGATGGCTAACTGAAGAAGAAATTTCAAATTTTGATTGTTCGGTGTTGGAAGACGATTCTGAAAAAGGATATGTATTAGAAGTAGACATACAATATCCAGAAAAACTACATGATTTTCATAATGATTTTCCATTTTGTCCAGAAAATATTACTCCACCAAATGGGAAACACCCGAAACTGATTTTGAACCTTTATGATAAGAGTAAATATATCATACACTACAGGAATCTCAAACAGTGTTTGAAACACGGTTTGATATTGAAGAAAACTCATAGAATTTTGGAATTTTCCCAAGAAAAATGGTTAAAATCATATATTGACCTAAATACCAAACTTCGTAATACTGCCAGAAATGCGTTTGAGAAAGATCTTATCAAATATCTCACAAATTCAATTTTTGGTAAGACCATGGAAAATGTCGATAAGCGTGTAAATATAAAGCTCTTATCACATTGGGAAAATAGACGTGGTATAACTGGTGCACAAACTCTAATAAGTAAACCTCATTTCAAGTCGTGTTCAGTATTTTCCGAGAACTTGGTAGCCATTCAAATGAACCAACTGAAAGTTTGCTATAATAAACCTCTATATGTGGGTTTTTCCATTCTTGATCTATCAAAAACTGTAATGTATGATTTTTATTATGATTTCATAAAAGCAAACTATGTTGAAAACGCTTCACTATGCTACACCGATACAGATTCGTTGATATTACACATAAATACTGAGAATGTATATGACGATATTAAAAAAAATTTATATTGGTTCGATACATCAAATTATCCAGACAACAATATTCATGGTATTCCACAAACCAACTCAGTAGTTGGGAAATTCAAGGATGAGTATAGTGGATCTCCCATAGAGAGTTTCTACGGCACCGGGGCCAAGGCTTATTGTGTCAAGCTGAGTAATAGTGAAACAAAAAAAGCTAAGGGTATATCTAAAAATGTAATAAAAAATCAACTAGATTTTACAAACTTCAAACAAATTGTTGAAGAAGGTGGTGTGGTATATAGAAAAATGTATGTTTTTCGATCCTATTTACATGTGATGTACACTGAATTGAAAAATAAAGTTGCATTGTCATCTCATGATGATAAAAGATATGTTTTACCTGGTATTGCTAAAACGTTAGCTTGGGGGCACAAATCTATCAATGAATCACGCAACACTAATGTACAAAGCGATAGGGATTTAGAATTGTTAATCGAATTAGCCGAAGACTTATGTACTGACGTAGAAATTGATGACTTTTATATTCGAAATTTTGATTTGAGTAACACTTGACAATATTTTTATTTCACTTATGCAACTATTACTCTAACATACAATATGCACTATGTTCATTCGGAATTCTATTCCATTTATTATAAAAATGTTTGTATTACTTCGACTTTATTTAAAAATTTGTATTGAACTTATGAAACTGGAACTATTATTTCAATAAACGACGAAATCATTTTTTTTTGTTTATTTTTTGTTGAACTGGTTTGGTGAAATCTGTTTGTAGAAATTTGTGGAAGGGTGGACCTGTTTGATGTATGTTTTATTGAGGGAGGGATAGGAGTTTGATTATAAAATCCAGACATCGTACTAGTCATCTCATTCTGTACCACATACAAATATCAAAATGTGGATGGCATATGTGACTGAAGTTGAAATAAGTGATTTGAAAAGTGGTGTTGAAAATCTGCATCAGACTTTCAGTAATTTACGCTTTGATGCTGAACACGAGGCGGTGTACGGTATGGGGCGCTTTCATACGGAAGATTATTGTACAAAATTAGCCGAAAAATATAGTGCCGCATGCGATTTGTGTGAACTATTTCTGGAGGGTGCAGTGAGTCCCAAAGCCTTTGTGGAAGGTCTCATGAATTTGAACTTTGTGGGGTACCTGCACCGCATTAAGCAATATCTTCCTAAAAGTCTAGTAGAATATTGGCTTAGCGATAGTGATAATGAAGAGGGTGAGGAAAAAGATGTGGATGACCAAGACGAAGAAGAAGAAGAAGAGGAAGAAGAAGAAGAAGAAGAAGAAGAGGAAGAAGAACAAGAAGGAGAAAATTGTGAAAATAATTGTGAAAATGATGAAAAATATATGAATTCATAAACCTTTTGATTTTTCTCGAATAAAAGATTCAACTCAATATTATTTTTTTTATTAAAAACTCATGATAAAATTTTCATATAAATAAAAAACATTGGATAGTGCACAAATGCATTGAGTCTTTGAATGGTTAACACATTTTGGTTGAGACATTCTTAAAGTTGGCTGCTCATCGAATTCGACAACTGGTTTGTTTATGAACTGTCTAATGTAGTTGGCTTTTTCTAATCCTTTCACATAGATAATGTCGTAAGAATTCGTCAAATCAGTGATTATTTTGCTAAATAAATGTTGTGGTGTGAATCCAGCATCCCATGCAATGCAGTGATGATTTTCAGTTAGCCAGTGAGCTTGTCTCTGCAAATCTGGTGATAAATGATCGAATGGAAATGGTGCTTTGAATATATAGTGACAAATTCTGATCCCATCAAAACCTGCTAACTCTTTCACGATAAATCTATTTTTTTCCAATTTAAAGCATTGAACATCTAAAACAAGTGTCATATTTTTAAATTATCCAATGCTTTCAAAACAGCTATCTTGTCACTGTACAGCTCTAGAACTCTTTTAATTTCCTCTAATTTTTCTATGTGTTTATCAAGAGAGTTGATGAATAGTGATTTACGTACACTTCTCTGATACAGCACTGATTTCATTATGATACATCTTTACGGTGTCATTAACTGTTATAATGAAAATTCGTCATGCGCAATTTAAAGTTGTCGTACCATTTTCGTTAGAGGATTGTATGTAAAATGCCTTTCATGGAGAATCAGGCAGTAAGCTGTAGTATTATTTTTAGTAGCTTCAGCAGTTTCAAATTCAATTCGCATAACTATACTACCAGTCTGTACAGCTTCTTTTTGTCGTGAACAGTCGATGTGTGATATAGGAGCCACCTCTTTAAATTCAATGGGGCTGAATAATGGTTCATTGCTGACTTTTTCATTATAATACGTTTCTTGAAAATTAGCATACATTTCATACAAAGTTGCAAACTTATTGTTCTTGAAATCTAAGTATAGATCATTGTAGGGAAACTTGTCTGAATTCAAAAATAATCTCATGTTTGTAAGACCGCAATTATCGAACTTGCTCATATCACTCATAATTTTCCCTTTTTTATCAACTTGAAATGCTACAATTACATGCCGAGGGGTCTCTATTTTATTACTCGTTTTGACTGGCCATTGGTGCCGAGAAGAGGGTGGTAAACTAGGGTATTCAATCAGCTCCCATGACCTGAAACTTATTGGAAGATCTGTGTTCCTATTGATGATTTTATTCATCCCAAGTTGTGCAGGAATACTAAGAGTGACGTGTGGTACTCTCCAGAATATTTTACTTATTTCAACCTTCGGTTTTTCTGTATCAACTGTGCTTGTGACACTATCGAAATCATCACTAGACCGAATAATAACTAACTCTTGCTTCATATTAATGATCAACTTCTTAAAATCTTCAAAAAAGCCCATTAAAAACTTCATGGGAATACACACATTGAATAATCCTTTGGAATCGATCAAGATCTTTTCGGTAGGTAACGACTTGAAAAATCCTGCATTTTGTAAAGAGTTGCATTCATTAGTGTTATATGATAAGTATGCTTTCAAGGTGGAAACCAAGCCTACATTTCTGACAGAGTCAACAACGATACCACCCAATTCATATCTCATTTCTCGAAACAAAAATGAAATTCCATTACTTATGAATTTTATTTTATCAACTGGGCTGTTGTTCTCTTGAGTCAATTTACCCTCAATGTATAAATAACTATTACATGGCGCTGAATAATTATCAAGTTCCTGAATTGGGATGCGGACCTCGTCATTGTAGTTGAAATTACTTGCAACATACGGTTGATATGTGTGGAATTGGTAGTTTTCTACCGTTGTGTCATTGAAAGGTCTACCAGTTACATTTAACAGCTCCATTATACCAATACTTCGAATCCAAGAGATTTCAGAAACAATCGGTTTTTAGATGTTAATATTTTGGCGTTCTTTCTAGAACTAACATGTCCATTGGTAGTAATCTTTCTTTTATACACTTTGCGGGGTGTGTTCACTGGTGAGTCCTTATTAAATCTGAGTACCATAATTAGAAATTCTTCTCAAGTGTAGCGTTATTGTTATTGTTTCTTTTTGGAAGTCTATTATATTTTCGTCTTGATCAAAAACACGTAAAGTAATGTTACTTATCGTCTTGACTGTTACAGGCAAATACAGTATATTCTCTGGTGTTTCCAGTATTTTATACCCATACGGCACAGTTGGAAAAAACTCATGAATAATATGACCGGGTTTGTCATTCAAATAAGATCCATTAGCTATATTACAATCTATGCATATAGCATTCACTTTGAATATCTGAACTGAATCCAATGCTTCATGTCTACCTGGGTCTAGAACTCTATGGCTGAATCCTAATACAAACCCTATTGAGTTTGGTTTCGAGAAATCGATTTTTGTATTTGTTTCTACTTCAATTTTTGAAGTATGATAATTCAAAGTGAATTTGATCTTCACTCCAGGTTTGACATTGTTTTCAATTATTTTCAGTATGTCAGTCAATTTATAAGACCCAACTAAAATTCCTAATTGATCATTATCATTATAGTAAAACTGATTATTTGTGAAATCAATATTATTAATTTGATTGAATGTTTCGAAACTCTTCAGACCAACTTCATAATTCACGTTATCTTCGAGATATAGAGGTACATCTAAGTTAGCTGATAAAACTGAAGACTTGCCTGATAACGTGAAAGTAAAAGACATGTTGACGGTAAAAAAGTTTATTCACAAATAGCTCAACATCCAATTTTATACTGCTTATATAAAAAAATCAAACATAAATGTCCGCATTGATATGAATCATAATCCTGGAACCGATCATGATTGTATTTCACATTGTTCAAGCCACCATCACTCCGAAAATACTTCACCAACTCCATTGATGGCTTAAGATCTCCATAACTATCAAAATACAATATTTCCGTATTTTTCTTTGTATATGCCGTCCAATGTGTGCCATCGCCCGAAGATATATCCAAGTTCACAATACCACATTCATTTTTTCGAATTTTTTTCGGTAGTTCATTTCTCATGAAAACACCGCGAAAATATGGTATCTGAAGATTTTCAACATATTTGAGTAAGTCGATGTTAGTGAGTGCTCGGTGTGGTAGCTTCCTTATTAGTTTTTTTTCAAACCAGAGCCCTTAGCATATGGTTTGAGGTATAAACCTTTACCCTTTTTCAATGCCTCCTCTACGGCTGCATCATGTCTCTTTTGTTCTTCTAACACTTTTCTATTAGTTTTTGCATCATTCACAGCTTTTACAATCGAAGCCGTTCCACCACCAATAGCTCCAAGTGCCCCCAAAAGTGGAAATAATAATGGGAGGAATCCACCTATTTTTGGAGTTGGAATAATTCTTTGCTTTTTAGATTTCTTCACTGTTTTCCTTTTTTTCCCAAATTTCAAGGAGCCACCTTTTTTCTTAGAAGATACTTTTTTTCCAAACCCCATACCGAATTTTGCCTTCGATTTCATGATACCAGCGACTCCTAGGGCTGCTAGTTTTTCACCAAGCCCAGCGTCTGATGATTTGTAACGCTCAACTGCCGCAGATGCTAATTCACGATCTGCTCTATTTCTAGTTGCAACGTCATCAAATTTTGAATAAGCTATATCGTGGGATTTGCACGCTTCATCAAGCGGGTTTATACCAGGATCACCCCTGATTAATCTTTTTTGTAATTTTGTTCCGGGTCCACAATAAGAATACCCTGGTATATGCGCCTCGAAAGGGAGTTTATTGATTAGACTATTCAACAACCCACTACCTTTTTTCTTCGACAGTCGAGAACGAATGATATCATTACGCTTGTGTCGAGTCATTATATGGAATGTAACTAATCTGATTTTGTGGGCATATATATATATATATATATAGTGAAACAAAAATTTTGTGTTGTCAGTGCATAAACACTCCCCAAAATGAAGATACAGAAGCAAAAATATAATTTAGAAATCACCAACCATGATAGTCATAGTTTAGTCAACCATTACCAAAAACATGGCCCCCTATTTGGGGGTCAGGTGAAACGAGGACTGCTTGTAGGTGCATCAGGTTGTGGAAAAACTAATGTCATGTTGAGTTTACTAGAACACCCAAACGGATTACGTTTTGAAAATCTCTATATATATTCGAAATCGTTGTATCAACCAAAATATGAGTATTTGAGAAGTTTGATGGGATCTATACCTGAGATTGGTTATTATGAATTTAGTGATGGTGATGATGTTATATATCCTGAGGAAATAAGTCCAAATGCTGTTATAATTTTCGATGATGTTGTATCATGCGATCAAAATATCATAAAGAAATATTTTTGTTTCGGTCGACATAAAAACACTGATTGCTTCTATCTGAGTCAAACTTATTCTGCCATATCAAAACAATTATTGAGAGATAATGCTAACTTGATTATAGTATTTCAATCAGATATGACAAACTTAAAACATATTTATGATGATCATGTCAATATTGATATGAATTTCACACAATTTAAAGAAATCTGCGCATTTTGTTGGTCGGATAAATTTGGATTTCTTGTAATAGACAAAGACTGTCCTATGGATGCTGGTCGATACAGAAAGGGTTTTGACATTTTTATAACAATATAAATATACGTTGTATGGATGCAATCAACAGTTCGACACAAATCTCACATGATGAATGATCAACTCGCTGAAGAACTGGAAAAAACCAGAGTTGCTCTAAGAAAAAAGTATAAACTATTGAAAAGTGATATTGCGCAATCTGAAACAAATTTAGAAAAAACATACAAACCTTTGACAGAACCACTAAAAAATTTGATATCCAAATTGGAAAAACCACGAGAAATCAAAACTGAGTACAAGACATCACCTAAATTATCACCATCAAGGAATATTTCAACAAGTTTCCCAAATTATATGCGACAATCCATTTTTGCGTCTAAACCTGAAACTCCATTTTCTTATGACCCATCTATAGAGGATGAAGGAAGTTTTTTCGATGAAACAGTGTATAATAGACCTGAACTCGAATTACCATCAGATATTGAATTAACGCCTGGTTACCTGAAAGAATTGGAGCAATATGCAATGCCTCTACCAAGAGCTTACATTCGGGAAAAAATTGAAACCAGTAATAAAGATTTCGATGAAACGTTCGGAATTTTCTATGATGTGATGACCAACAAATTTTCCATTGGTGATTCCCCTATAAATTTTGATAATGCCAACCCTATCATTAAAGGAAAAAAGTATCCTGGTACAGCAGGCCTCTATGAACTATTGTTCAAAAAAAGACCTCTTGGATATAAGTCAGCAGATCTTGATAATTATATTGATATATTGAAAAAAACAAATGCTATATATCTGGGTCACGATCCTTCACGAGGTCTATCTACATCAAATTCCGATAAATTCAAAAATTTAATCAAACCTAAAGTGACCAGTCTACATTCTATGGCTCTAGATATGGCTGCACAGAAAGCATCTGAGAAAGCTGCTAGTTTAGCAGAAAAGGCTGCCGAACAAGCTGCTGAGAAAGAATTTCAGGCGATCATAGCGAAACATAAAACTCCAGCAATACCGAGGCCAAGAACCGGATCTCTATCTCAATTACAGGTGGCAACAAGAGCGAGAACAGGTTCTTTACCTAAGCGTGGTAAAGGTATAACCTTGATGGATCTCAATGAGAAGGCAATTGATTACAAACATTTCGATGATTTTAATGAATTGGTGGAAAGACTAAAATTATTAGTTGCATCTCAAATGGCTGGAAATACAAACGTTAACAACGAAATCGTCTCAATTGTTGAGGAGTTGCGTGAAGGTGGTATAATCAAATAAAAACACCTACTGA